CCTCGTCTCTGTGCTAGATCGGACCACCGCCGTCCCCTGCTTCCTCTTCGTCGACCAGACCGAGCCGAGGAGCGCTGCATCGAGCCCCACGACGCCTTTCCTCCTCCTCGGGTCGCCGGCGAACTCCGTCGATTTTGGCCACTCTGCTGCTACTAAGCTCCCGCCGGCCACCGTGTGCCTCAACGTGAGCCCCTCTGTCGTTCCCCTCCTTCCCCCTCTCGATTTCGTCGTAGTAGGCCGCCGTGCCCGAACCCACTCCCCCCCATGCGTACGCGTACGTGTCGTTGCTTCTCCTGTGCTGTCGCGGCTGCTGCTGTGTGCGCGCTCCCGTGCGTGGCCACGCCGTGGTTTGCTATGGTGCTATGCCGTTGCTACTGCTCTGCCAGCTGTTGCTTTGTCGCTACTTCCTTTGATGCACTGTTGCTGCTGCGGCTAGCCTGCTGCCGCAGCCGCTGGCGCTGCCTACTGTTGCCCGTCGCGTCGTGCCGCCTTACCGCGCCGACTGCCACCGCTCCGGCCGCGCCTCAGCGCGAGCGCCCAACTATGCACGAGCCTCGTCTCACGCCTCCTCCCCTGCTGTTACTGCTCTGCAGCCGCAGCTGCCGCCCGCGCCGCGTGTGGCAACCGGACCGCATGTCCCTGGCCGCGTCGGCCATGCCTAGCCGCCCTGCAACCGCGGCCTGCCTCGCCCCTTGCCCCGCGTCGCTCACCGGCCAAGCCTCACGCCATGCAGGGCCGCGCCTCGCGCCCAGCTCGTGGGCATGCCGTTGGACTCTGCTGCCGCTGTGCTACAAAAGTAATATTCAGTTACTGTAGCTATGGCTAGCTTTGCGAATATTACACTAACTAACTCCTTTGGCAACCTCTAATCAGCGGTTAAACAATTACTAACAGGCCATAGAAAAATATGAGTAGAAAGTATACATGATAAACTCCATTTTATCCCACTGAACCAAATCCTTTTGATGTATGGATTAATTCCTATGAAAATCACAAAGTTCAATGTTCTGTTAATAGAAAAACTGAAAATAGCTTTATTTTCATAGCTACCTTAGAGTTGTTGATGATCAAGCAAATGAACTCTAATATGGATAAAAGTGATACTATCTTGTAGATCACAGAAAAATGATCAAAATTGATATAAGGCACAAAATCATAGGACTTACAGATCCATAGTTGTAGCCTTTTCAAGACAGCTAAAAGATGTTTAAAACTAACGAACTCTCAGACTTAGCAGAATTTCAGGGAATTTCATAATATTGTTTAAATCTTTGAAAATTAATAAAAATTAAACCGTAGCTCGGATGGAAATGTTTTCTACATGAAAGTTGCTCAGAACGACGAGACGAATCCGGATACGTCCTCCGCTCATCTAACACACGTCCCTAGCATAGCAAACGTTGAACTTTTCCCCTCCGGTTCATCTGTCTGACAGACGTCCAGAATCGGGAAAACTTTCCCGGACGTTTCGCCCTTCGCCAGTATCACCGAGCGCTACGTTAGAACACTCAAGCCCTGCTTATTGTCTGGTTATGCTTATGTTTGCGTGTATTTACTGTTTCTTCCCCCTCTTCTTC